GACTTTAAATCTTACAATGTTTTGACATTGTATATTATATATTTTACTCCATATACTCCATCCATATTATAGCAGAATTGTATGGAATCATTACATATTTTAACTATCAGAGTTTTATGGAATCATCATTCACTCATCATGATTTTTTACATATTATATGAAATTTCTTATTTTTATTTTTATTTTGGTGCATTTATTCTGATCCACTCTTGCCCCCACATTCTTGTTATTAATATATGTATTTTTTCGTAATTATTGGTAATTATTTACCATCATAATTGTTTTCCAGACCATTATCAATGTTTATTGATCTGGTTCTTCCTCTTTTCTTTGCACCATATAGTCGGTCTTAACAATAGACCGCACGATCCTTCATGAGATACTTTACCTGTTCTTTCGAAAACCATGGCAAAATGGCGCTGCGCATGCACGCGCACACCTGTTATATTTTCCATGGTCAACAAAATGGCACCGGAGTAATGTGCATGCACTATTTTGCCTATAAATTCAGTTGGCGAGTGTCATGGCAGTATTGGCATCCCCTCTGAAGACGTGCATGTGCACGAAACGCGTAAGAAGGAGCTAATACGCCATGACGTCACGCCTCCGGACCCACGTGTAGGTCCGGCTTCCATCTTGCTTATGGATGGTCAGTCCGTTTTTAAACACTGTGTCACTTTATATCGGTTTGTCATGGAAATTTTGTATTTACAGGTTGAACTTTAAATGTGTCATATATTAGTGTTATTCATATGTCTCTCCTGTGGCTTAATTAAAGCTCTGAAGGCTGCAATTAGGCCATGCGCATGTACAATGTATGTATTACAGTACTCAGCTCGGTAATGGATGAGATGGCAGATCTGCGCTTATAGACCGGCGTGTATACCACCACGGCATTCGATGCGAATGCCGCCAGCGGTAGGCCGCGGGCCTGTATCCACATATCAGCAGCATAGTACCACATGGACTTCGTATCGCCAGGCGCCAAGCAGTGCGAACTCTGCGTGTAGGCTCATGTATATCTTACAAGCCATTACCGACCTGAACTGTATCTGGATGGATGTGTTTTAATAAAGATCGTATCGGGCCCATTCAGATACAGACTGACACTGTTTAATCTAGGGGATGCTTGTACAGAGAATGGACATACTGCTAGGAGCTGATAGGATAGGGGGAAGTTTACTCTCCTCAGAGAGCTCACCATGGGAAAGGGGGAGGGGAGAACTGGTTTCCAGTATAGATAAAAGGAAAGGCTATGCTCCAATCAGGATGTACATTCTGTGTATAGACACTCCCCATGCATTGTTCTGTGGGATTGACCTGACCCCCCCCCCCCCCTGCGTGGGGGGGGCATGTGTGTACTTGTAATAAAACAAAAGGCTGGGGATACGGACAGTCGCTATGTGAATTCCAACAGCAACCTGAGAGTGTCGTGTGATCATTCCTAGGTAACTGGAGCTCCATTTTCCCCACATCTCAAGATAGCTAAACCAGTTGGAGGCGCAGGATCGTGGAGTTTAGCTGCAGTCGCGGTAAGCGAGATTCGCACAGCTTTATGAGGGATTGCTGCGCATCCAACTGCGAGTACTCACGGTAAGGAGAAATTCGTTAAAAGCGAATTTCCAAGACAGGTTCTATATGGAATTTGCAAATTCTGGAATAAATTATTTTTATATTACCTACTACACTGCACTTTTTATGTCTCCCTATGTGGAGTAATTGATTTATAGAGCCAACCAAATCCACCGCAGCATCCAGAGGAGGGAGTTCCTGTCTCACAGGCTTCTACACACACCCCATCCCTTAAAGGGGACCTCTGGCTGACTGGATCCTTTACCACCTGAGAGTTTCTGATGCACCACCACTGTCCAGAGGGAGGATTATCCTTGGCCTGACTCATATCAAATTCCTAAAGGGGACCTCCACTGATTGATTTAATGCGTATTATCATTACATATCTGGTGAGTGCGTATTCTTACCCCTCTATTCCAGAGCACCAGCACTAAGCATTGCTGCTATTCACCATATACTTGTACAGATTGTTGAAGAAATGAAAAATTCGATTCGACTGATTCGGCGAATTCGTGGACAATATTCGATTCGAGTCGAATAAATTCGCTGTGAATTTAACTTAAAAAAGGGTGTTCTCTAGGCTTCAGAGAGACTTAATATTAGTGCAGAACACTGTACCTTTAATTTAAATGCCCTTGGAGTCTGCTGGGGAAGAGAAATAATACTGTCTGTCAGTATGACATGCAGATGAGTGCCGTCGATCTTAGAATCACTGCACACTTCACTCCTTTGGCCAGTCACGGGGCCAAAACCAGTGTTTGGAGCCACAGTGTGGCGGTGGAGGCAGCAGCAATGGGAGGCCATACAGCAACCTATGACAAAATGGAAACCAGCAGGAGCGTGAGGAGACCTGAAAGTGGCACATGGCAGAGTGGGAGCAATGGGAGGCGGTACAGGGACCCAGGTCACACTGTGGGCCCAGCAGCAGCGTGACCAGGCGGTACGGGGGCCCATGGCCGATATGGGGCTTGGTGGCACCTATGGAAGGCCTGTAATCTGCCAGCAACCTATGACAAAATGGACAACCGCAGGAGTGTGAGGAGATTTCAAAGTGGCACATGGCAGCAGAGTGGAAGCAATGGGAGGCCGTACAGGGACCCAGGTCACACTGTGGGCTCAGCAGCAGCAGCAGCAGCGTGACCAGGAGGTACGGGGGCCCATGGTCGATATGGGGCCTGGCGGCACCTATGGAAGGCCGCTAATCTGCCAGCAACCTATGACAAAATGGACAACCGCAGGAGTGTGAGGAGATTTCAAAGAGGTACATGGCAGAGTGGAAGCAATGGGAGGCCGTACAGGGACCCAGGTCACACTGTGGGACCAGCATCAGCGTGAACAGGCGGTACGGGGGCCCATGGCCGATTTGACCTCATTCATCCCAGTCCTGCCGACTCACGAATAGCGTGGCCTCCTCAAAGGGCCTGAGCAAGCGCAGGTGTCACACATGAGCTGACAATGGCTGACATCTAAGTTACACAGGGGAGTACCTTTATCCGCTTTTTAACATCAGGAAATCTGTGATGGCCTTTAGCTGTTCGTAAAGGCGGTCTAACATATGTAGGGTTGAATTACACCTTGTTGCAACGTCACAGCATGAGGAGTCGGTACGGGGGCCCATGGCAGATTACATGTCTGGCAGCAGCAATGGGAGGCCCGTAATCTGCCAGCACCCTATGTCAAAAAATTTAACACACCAGCAGTGTGAAGAGACCTGAAAGTGGCACATGGCAGCAGAGTGTGGCGATGGAGACAGCAGCAATGGGAGGCCGTACAGGGACCCATGAGAGACTCTGGACTTGGCAGCAGCATGAGGAGGCGGTATATAGGGGCCCATGGCAGATTAGGGGCCTGGCAGCAGCTATGTGAGGCCCGTAATCTGCCTGCACCCTATGTCAAAAAATTAAACACACCAGCAGTGTGAAGAGACCTGAAAGTGGCACATGGCAGCAGAGTGTGGCGATGGAGACAGCAGCAATGGGAGGCCGTACAGGGACCCATGAGAGACTCTGACTTGGCAGCAGCATGAGGAGGCGGTATATAGGGGCCCATGGCAGATTAGGGGCCTGGCAGCAGCTATGTGAGTGAGGCCCGTAATCTGCCTGCACCCTATGTCAAAAAATTAAACACACCAGCAGTGTGAAGAGACCTGAAAGTGGCACATGGCAGCAGAGTGTGGCGATGGAGACAGCAGCAATGGGAGGCCGTACAGGGACCCATGAGAGACTCTAGACTTGGCAGCAGCATGAGGAGGCGGTATATAGGGGCCCATGGCAGATTAGGGGCCTGGCAGCAGCTATGTGAGGCCCGTAATCTGCCTGCACCCTATGTCAAAAAATTTAACACACCAGCAGTGTGAAGAGACCTGAAAGTGGCACATGGCAGCAGAGTGTGGCGATGGAGACAGCAGCAATGGGAGGCCGTACAGGGACCCATGAGAGACTCTGGACTTGGCAGCAGCATGAGGAGGCGGATATATAGGGGCCCATGGCAGATTAGGGGCCTGGCAGCAGCTATGTGAGGCCCGTAATCTGCCTGCACCCTATGTCAAAAAATTTAAACACACAGCAGTGTGAAGAGACCTGAAAGTGGCACATGGCAGCAGAGTGTGGCGATGGAGACAGCAGCAATGGGAGGCCGTACAGGGACCCATGAGAGACTCTGGACTTGGCAGCAGCATGAGGAGGCGGTATATAGGGGCCCATGGCAGATTAGGGGCCTGGCAGCAGCTATGTGAGGCCCGTAATCTGCCTGCACCCTATGTCAAAAAATTTAACACACCAGCAGTGTGAAGAGACCTGAAAGTGGCACATGGCAGCAGAGTGTGGCGATGGAGACAGCAGCAATGGGAGGCCGTACAGGGACCCATGAGAGACTCTAGACTTGGCAGCAGCATGAGGAGGCGGTATATAGGGGCCCATGGCAGATTAGGGGCCTGGCAGCAGCTATGTGAGGCCCGTAATCTGCCTGCACCCTATGTCAAAAAATTTAACACACCAGCAGTGTGAAGAGACCTGAAAGTGGCACATGGCAGCAGAGTGTGGCGATGGTGGCGATGGAGACAGCAGCAATGGGAGGCCGTACAGGGACCCATGAGAGACTCTAGACTTGGCAGCAGCATGAGGAGGCGGTAGGCGGTATATATAGGGGCCCATGGCAGATTAGGGGCCTGGCAGCAGCTATGTGAGGCCCGTAATCTGCCTGCACCCTATGTCAAAAAATTTAACACACCAGCAGTGTGAAGAGACCTGAAAGTGGCACATGGCAGCAGAGTGTGGCGATGGAGACAGCAGCAATGGGAGGCCGTACAGGGACCCATGAGAGACTCTGACTTGGCAGCAGCATGAGGAGGAGGAGGTATATAGGGGGCCCATGGCAGATTAGGGGCCTGGCAGCAGCTATGTGAGGCCCGTAATCTGCCTGCACCCTATGTCAAAAAATTTAACACACCAGCAGTGTGAAGAGACCTGAAAGTGGCACATGGCAGCAGAGTGTGGCGATGGAGACAGCAGCAAGCAGGGAGGCCGTACCGTACAGGGACCCATGAGAGACTCTAGACTTGGCAGCAGCATGGGAGGCGGTATATAGGGGCCCATGGCAGATTAGGGGCCTGGCAGCAGCTATGTGAGGCCCGTAATCTGCCTGCACCCTATGTCAAAAAAAAAATAACACACCAGCAGTGTGAAGAGACCTGAAAGTGGCACATGGCAGCAGAGTGTGGCGATGGAGACAGCAGCAATGGGAGGCCGTACAGGGACCCATGAGAGACTCTGGACTTGGCAGCAGCATGAGGAGGCGGTATATATAGGGGCCCATGGCAGATTAGGGGCCTGGCAGCAGCTATGTGAGGCCCGTAATCTGCCTGCACCCTATGTCAAAAAATTTAACACACCAGCAGTGTGAAGAGACCTGAAAGTGGCACATGGCAGCAGAGTGTGGCGATGGAGACAGCAGCAATGGGAGGCCGTACAGGGACCCATGAGAGACTCTGGACTTGGCAGCAGCATGAGGAGGAGGGTATATAGGGGGGCCCATGGCAGATTAGGGGCCTGGCAGCAGCTATGCTGTGAGGCCCGTAATCTGCCTGCACCCTATGTCAAAAAATTTAAACACACCAGCAGTGTGAAGAGACCTGAAAGTGGCACATGGCAGCAGAGTGTGGCGATGGAGACAGCAGCAATGGGAGGCCGTACAGGGACCCATGAGAGACTCTAGACTTGGCAGCAGCATGAGGAGGCATGGGGGGGCAGCATATATATAGGGGCCCATGGCAGCAGATTAGGGGCCTGGGGGCAGCAGCTATATGTGAGGCCCGTAATCTGCCTGCACCCTATGTCAAAAAATTTACACACAGTGTGAGAGACCTGAAAGTGGCACATGGCAGCAGAGTGTGGCGATGGAGGAGAGCAGCAATGGGAGGCCGTACAGGGACCCATGACAGGGACTCATGAGACTTGGCAGCAGCATGAGGAGGCGGTATATAGGGGCCCATGGCAGATTAGGGGCCTGGCAGCAGCTATGTGAGGCCCGTAATCTGCCTGCACCCTATGTCAAAAAATTTAAAAAATGCAGTCAAAAAATTAAAAATTTAAACCAGCAGTGTGAAGAGACCTGAAAGTGGCACATGGCAGCAGAGTGTGGCGATGGAGACAGCAGCAATGGGAGGCCGTACAGGGACCCATGAGAGACTCTAGACTTGGCAGCAGCATGAGGAGGCGGTATGTATATAAAATTAAACACACCAGGGGGAGACCCATGGCAGATTAGGGGCCTGGCAGCAGCTATGTGAGGCCCGTAATCTGCCTGCACCCCCATATGTCAAAAAAAACACCTAACACACCAAAAATAACACACCAGCAGTGTGAAGAGACCTGAAAGTGGCACATGGCAGCAGAGTGTGGCGATGGAGACAGCAGCAATGGGAGGCCGTACAGGGACCCATGAGAGACTCTGGACTTGGCAGCAGCATGAGGAGGCGGTATATAGGGGCCCATGGCAGATTAGGGGCCTGGCAGCAGCTATGTGAGGCCCGTAATCTGCCTGCACCCTATGTCAAAAAATTTAAAAATTTACACCAGCAGTGTGAAGAGACCTGAAAGTGGCACATGGCAGCAGAGTGTGTGTGGGATGGAGACAGCAGCAATGGGAGGCCGTACAGGGACCCATGAGAGACTCTGGACTTGGCAGCAGCATGAGGAGGCGGTATATAGGGGCCCATGGCAGATTAGGGGCCTGGCAGCAGCTATGTGAGGCCCGTAATCTGCCTGCACCCTATGTCAAAAAATTTAAACACACCAGCAGTGTGAAGAGACCTGAAAGTGGCACATGGCAGCAGAGTGTGGCGATGGAGACAGCAGCAATGGGAGGCCGTACAGGGACCCATGAGAGACTCTGACTTGGCAGCAGCAGCATGAGGAGGCGGGGTATATAGGGGGCCCATGGCAGATTAGGGGCCTGGCAGCAGCTATGTGAGGCCCGTAATCTGCCTGCACCCTATGTCAAAAAATTTAACACACAGCAGCAGTGTGAGACCTGAAAGTGGCACATGGCAGCAGAGTGTGGCGATGGAGACAGCAGCAATGGGAGGCCGTACAGGGGAGGCCCCATGAGAGACTCTGGACTTGGCAGCAGGAGGCGGGAGGCGGTATAGGGGGCCCATGGCAGATTAGGGGCCTGGCAGCAGCATGCTGAGGAGGCCCGTAATCTGCCTGCACCCTATGTCAAAAAATTTAAACACACCAGCAGTGTGAAGAGACCTGAAAGTGGCACATGGCAGCAGAGTGTGGCGATGGAGACAGCAGCAATGGGAGGCCGTACAGGGACCCATGAGAGACTCTGGACTTGGCAGCAGCAGCAGAGGAGGAGGCGGTATATAGGGGCCCATGGCAGATTAGGGGCCTGGCAGCAGCTATGTGAGGCCCGTAATCTGCCTGCACCCTATGTCAAAAAATTTAAACACACCAGCAGTGTGAAGAGACCTGAAAGTGGCACATGGCAGCAGAGTGTGGCGATGGAGACAGCAGCAATGGGAGGCCGTACAGGGACCCATGAGAGACTCTGAGACTTGGCAGCAGCAGCAGGAGGCGGTATATAGGGGGCCCATGGCAGATTAGGGGCCTGGCAGCAGCTATGTGAGGCCCGTAATCTGCCTGCACCCTATGTCAAAAAATTTAACACACCAGCAGTGTGAAGAGACCTGAAAGTGGCACATGGCAGCAGAGTGTGGCGATGGAGACAGCAGCAATGGGAGGCCGTACAGGGACCCATGAGAGACTCTGGACTGGACTTGGCAGCAGCAGCAGCAGGAGGGCGGGTATATAGGGGCCCATGGCAGATTAGGGGCCTGGCAGCAGCTATGTGAGGCCCGTAATCTGCCTGCACCCTATGTCAAAAAATTTAACACACCAGCAGTGTGAAGAGACCTGAAAGTGGCACATGGCAGCAGAGTGTGGCGATGGAGACAGCAGCAATGGGAGGCCGTACAGGGACCCATGAGAGACTCTGGACCTGGCAGCAGCATGAGGAGGCGGTATATAGGGGCCTATGGCAGATTAGGGGCCTGGCAGCAGCTATAGGAGGCCCGTAATCTGCCAGCCCCCCTATGTCAAAAAATTAAACACACACAGCAGCAGTGTGAGGGACCTGAAAGTGGCACATGTTTGAGGCATGATTCATGGCGGATTTAGTCAGTTGTGTCAGGAACTGGTGGTTTGAAATCCAGACTAATCCACGCCTGATTCATTTTCACAAACGTGAGTCTCTCCACACTTTGGGTGGACAGTCGTGTCCTCCGCGGAGTTACAATACCTCCTGCCGCACTAAACACGCGCTCCGATGCCACGCTACTGGCCGGGCATGACAGCCTTTCAAGGGCAAATTCAGCTAGTTGGGGCCAAAGGTCAAGTTTCGTTGCCCAGTAGTCAAGGGGATTGTCTACCTCGGTTGGCAGGGTGCTGTCCAAGTAGGCCCAAGCCTGTTGTTTGAGCTCCTGCTCCAGGTCCACCTGATGCTGCTGCTGCTGCTGCTGGCTGGTTAGTAGTTTCCTCACTGCGCTGGTGAAGAAAGCTACTCATCATCGACTGCAGACTGAGGCAGCCGCTGCTGGTGGAGCTGCCACTGCTCCTACCACCCCACCCCCCCCACCCCTCCTGCTGCTGCATGCCAGCGGAACGCGAGCGCACAGGGCCCACAGTGTCTGAGGATGGACGTTGGCGCACAAAGGCAGAGACCAACTGACTACATAGGTGGTTTTTATAGTACGTAATTTTGGCCTCCCTCTCAGCAGGTGTGAAAAAGGCCACCATTTTGGACCGGTAGCGAGGGTCCAACAAGGTGGACAGCCAAAAGTCATCCCTCTGTCTGATGGTTATTATTCGGCTGTCGCTACGCAAGCAACCGAGCATGCTATGGGCCATTTGTGCCAAGGAATGCGAGGGACTCCCTGCCTCCATCTCCACAGCATACTGCCACGGTGCGTCTGGGTCCTCTGTCTCCTCCTCCTCCTCCTCTACCAGATGCTCCTGCTCCTCCACTCCTGTCCGCTGAGTGGAAAAAAAAACACCCATTTCACTCAATAATTCCTGAGCACAAATGTCCTCCTCTACCTCCTCCTCTTCTTCCTGTCCTGCCCCCACAGGGGTCATGTGGCGTTGAGATCTGTGCGCCACGTCTACCGCACCCTGACCAGCCATTGTTAACAGCATTTGTTCCAGGACGTGCAACAGAGGAATGACGTCGTTCATCCCATAGTCCTGCCGACTCACGAATAGCGTGGCCTCCTCAAAGGGCCTGAGCAAGCGGCAGGTGTCACGCATGAGCTGCCAATGGCTGACATCTAAGTTACACAGGGGAGTACCTTTATCCGCTTGTAACATCAGGAAATCGGTGATGGCCTTTCGCTGCTCGTAAAGGCGGTCTAACATGTGTAGGGTTGAATTCCACCTTGTTGCAGGGTTGAATTCCACCTTGTTGCAACGTCGCAGATCAGGCGATGCTGTGGAATTCCGTTCTGCCGCTGCAGCTCAATGAGGGTGTTCTTTGCGGTGTAGGAATGGCTGAAATGCATGCACAGTTTACGTGACATTTTAAGGATGTCTTGCAGTGGGTGGTGGATGGTGGATTTTAGGAACCGCTTGACAACCAGATTGAACACGTGAGCCATGCATGGCGCATGGCACAACCTTCCTTGACGCAGAGCAGACACCATGTTCTTTCCGTTGTCAGTCAACATGGTTCCGATTTTTAGTTTGCGCGGAGACAGCCATCTGTCGATTTCTCTGTTCATTACACTCAGCAGTTCCTCCCCTGTGTGACTACGTTCGCCAAGGCATACCAGGTGCAGCACAGCGTGACACCGTTGCGCCCTGCACATGTGATATGCCGGTCGGGTAATGGGACTTGGCACGGGGGGGGGGTGGCGGCTGAGGACACGGCGGAAAAAGAGGTGGTAGAGGCGGACATGCTTGCTGGACCAAGGACGTGCAAACGTGGAGGCAAAAGCGTCGTGACCTGTCCAAGTTGCTGGTGCGGCTGTGCCGGCACCACGTTCACCCAGTGGGCCGTAAATGACATGTACTGTCCCTGACCGTAGTTACAGCTCCACACGTCGGCGCTGCCGTGCACTTTGGCAGAGACCGACATGCTCAAAGACTGGCCCACCATCTCTTCTACATGTGAATGCAGGGCTGGCACTGCCTTTTGGGCAAAGAAATGACGGCTTGGCACTCTCCACCGCGGCGCGGCACAAGCCATCATTTCTCGGAAAGGTGCTGAGTCCACCAGTTGGAAAGGGAGGGACTGCAGCACCAGCAACTTGGACAGGAGGACGTTCAGCTTTTGCACCGTCGGGTGCGTGCTCGCAAAAACTGTTGTCTCTTGGATACGGATTCCAAGAAAGACTGTTGACGGAATCCGAGAAGAGGAGTAGCAGGAGAAGGAGCATCTGAACGAGCATGAGAGAGAAGATGCCAATGAGCGACAACTCCCCTCAGCAGAGGTGTTGGAGCCTTG